AGTCTGCTTAACTGTGTCTAAAGTGTTTTGGGAATTTTCGATGCAGCCAAGCCTATAAACAGTCGCACAGATTGTTTCCTTGGAATCTGACAGGTCGACCGTCACGAAAGACGATGTCCACTGTGTACTTTCCCGAGTATGCTGGGTGCAAGGACGGTGACTTGCGCAGCATCAATCACATTAGCTCATCCCGGAAGAGGAGCCCGTTATAAACATCAATGTTTGCATTCGTAAAAGCTTTTAAATGGAAGCTAGATCCGCATTCCACTGCGCACTATGCTGCCATTCCAGCGCTCTCGTCTTGATGCTGAGGAGACCCACTGGCGAGCCGGATCCCTCGCAGATGTGTCAAGCAGCGGCAAAATACCGACGAAACACGTGTCGGGGCTTTTAGCTGGTACCTGTGTTGCCAATATGGTAGATATCTACAACATGATAGTAGTTGTTTAATGTTCCATTTTCCATTTCGCTCGAAAAACTCCATTACGAATTTTTAAATTTCCTCTCCTGTTTTTTTTTCCAATGTAGAGCAATCCCTCGGCGGTTTGTGTTTATGCCTGGCGTGATGGAGAGTGTGTTCTATTGGCTAACAAGTCCTTCTTCCGGGCGGACACAGTAAGCCTGCACTGGAGTGACACTGGCCGCCACCTGCTCGTCTTGGCTGCAACAAAAGTAAGCGGTTTAATCAAGCTCACATGTTGTACATAATTGGTTAAAGTAACATGTTTATATATCACACATTCGTTTCGTGTTCAAGACCAGTGATACGAGCTACTACGGTGAACAGACGCTACACTTCATCACGACCAGCCAGGCCGGAGACAGTGCATGCGTACCGATGCCACGCAAGGGTCCAATTCATCAAGTTGCGTGGAAGCCGTCAGGACCCCGAGAGCGAACCTCGGATGAGCGCTTTGTTATTTGTCAAGGCAGTAAGTGCAGCCTTTTAATTGTACCACTACAGTCCTCACAAATATCGCGCTCATCACAAAGGTCCACATTTTAACGAGTTTTTCAGATGTGTTAGTTTCTCGAATATACTGTCTACCGTGAATACGGGGCTGCCGTTGAAAGTTTATTTTGGAATTATCTGTCTGCCATTCGGACTTGAATGATGTAAATTCCAACTTTGCCTATTAAGACCATGTCATTCGCAATGTATAGGACGTGAAGAGTCGCCTACCTCATAGTTTCGGGCCATAATATATAGACTTATCAGCAAAATCTGTAGTAACCATCCTCATCCTCTCGATAGATTTTCGTAGCCGCAATCGTCGGGCCAGATAACGACGTGTCCTACCTGACCTGCGTTACATAGGCACGTAGAATTGAATGCGTTGCAGGCCAACCCAGTTATTGGTTGGCTGAGCAGCCGCCTTGATGCCACGTCTTGTCGTGTGATCGACACCTCTAACCTAGACCGAGTCCAACTTGGAAAGATGTCCCACCCGCGATCTGGGGTTTAGTTTGCACACCGAATGTTTGTGTTCGGGCATTCGAGTTTACGGCTTTTGATCAATTGCTCTCTGTGCGACCAAGTTGGAGTCGTTTGGGTGACACATGAGCTCACCCCCTTTTCTAAACTGTTGTGAACTGCCAACGACGAAGTTTGCCAACGCGTTGTACGCGACAATCGTTGTAGACGGCATCTAATAAGTTAACAAGACTGTATTATAAGTTTACACACTTTTATAAGAAATGGCACCGGCATCAATTAACAGTCACAGGAAATAAACCCCGACGCACAATCGTGACTAGTCGAGACTTCCTCCACTGACACGTTTAGTCGCATCCTCGGAGTTCGTACAGTCCTTTTACTTGCTACACGAGTACGGTTCTATAAAGAACATGGTAACACGTAATTTGTGTTTCACACTACTGTCCTTCAACCTTAATTTCTTTCCTGGCGGATGGCAGATTCCGTTCTCTTTCACTTTTTTCATTTTCATACTACCTTTTAAAGTTATTAAATAATGCATAAATTTTCCTGCTTTAACAAGGTAGCTGTTAAGGACCGTTTTCTTCAGCGAAGAGTGCGCTCTTTTGCCTGTTAGCGTGTTAAGTGCATAGCTTCTTGCTGAAGTCAAAGAAGGCTTCGTTGCACCTACGCTGTAATTTTGTCGATAATAACTGGTATCAGGGAACTCACCGTGCGATGAAATTTTATTGAATAACCCGGTTGCACATTCTACTGAAAACATTATGGTAACATAAATATTTGCTTTTGAATACTATATACCGTTTTCAATAGAGTCGCCGTAGACAACGCCAATTACTCACAGACATACTGTGCTATGAACCAATTCTTCAAGGTCAAAAAGAACTGATGACCTTACTTGCCAGATCCCTTTTATGAGACCTTTATAAACCCCCGTCCAACGCTCCTATTTTCATTATCAATGCATTTGTACAGACCCGATGAGAAATTGCCAAATGGATTTTTCAAGTTACATAGGGGAATATTTGTGGAAATTTGAATCATATGTGTCATAGGAGGATGTATTTTAGATCAATCTACTGTGTTATTATTTGCGCTTACATGTTGTGGATTGTACTAAAACCCTTTCAACCCACAAAACGCAAGTGGTTTCCTAATGATGCAGACGCTTGTTAGCTACGAGCTACTCTTACTGATTTCTCGCTCGTTACTTATAAAAACCTTTTTAAGATGGCTATGTTTTCAACTCCTATTTGATTGGTGTCCCAGAGCAATCTACCTTCATTTTATGCATGCTAGGTACGCTAACAAAGGATGCAGGATGACAAAAACTGTCGCTACTTTTATTTAGTCAGACATTCAAAACCACAGCGCACATCGTCTGTGGGCCGTCCTAA